TAAAAGAGAAAAAGAAATTATTCTGATAAGTTGATGTTTTTTATCCCTAAATAGTCAAAACATTCAAATAAGCCAGTTCCTAATTTTTGAGAAAATCTGACCACATAAGCCAAGAGAAAGACACGCAGCTGAGAGAAGCTGAAGAAGAATTGTGCAAACGCCTATAGAACAAGAGGTCGTTTTCTTAAGGGAATTTGGGGTGGTGTCATTCACATCATGCTTATGAAAAAACAGCCTTCTTACTTTGTAACTATATATAAAAGTATTATATTGTACATTTAAAACGGGTGTGATGGCCTGGCCTGTGTGGCTCAGTGTTTGAGCATCAACCCATGCACCCAGAGGTCGCTGGTTGATCCCTGGTCAGGGCGCATGCCCAGGTTGTGGGCCAAATCCCCAGTGGGGGGCATGTGGGAGGTTGGCCAATCAATGTTCTCTCTCACCGATGTTTTTATCTGTCTCTCCCTGTCCCTTCCTCTCTCAAATCAATAAAGAAAAAAAATTATTTTTACTAAATAAAATGAGTGGGGTCAATTTTGCAAGACCCCTTTCCTGTGTGCATGTGTGTGGAAGGTGGTGTGGGACAGGGACCTAGAGAAGTCCTAGTAAGTTGTTGTAAAATTCTATTGAAACATGCAAATTGGAACCAAGTAAGGTCGATATTGTGCCTCAAGGGTGAAAAGTCAGTAGCAGATTTAGTTCTTGAGACCACAAAATGCTAACTTTGTCATACAAGATTGTTACTAGGAAACTTGGACTTTGAAACTGACTGTTGGAACCACTGCAGATGCCCTTTCACTGTACTGAGGGCAGTTTGCATAAATAGCACTTTATAAATATATATGCATTTCAGATTTCCTATTTCTAGAAAAAATAAAAGCTAGTAGGCGTCTCTCTCTGCGGAGCATGTCTATGACTCCCCCCCCCCCTTCCTCCACCCCTCTCTATCTCCTAAGCTCCAAGGGCCCTTCTTTTGCCTCTGTAACTTGTTTCCTGACCCATTTCTTCTACCTCTGTGACTTACTAAATAAACTTTCTCTTACAGTTTGAATAAATAAATAAAAATAAATAATAAATAAATGTTATGTAGTATGGAACACATAACAGTTCAGGAAGCTGTTAATGCAACCTGTTTTCTTCTGTGTGTATTTCTCAGACTAATGTTTGGAACAGCGGTCACACACACAGTGCTTGCCCAGCCTCCCAGCCTCCCAGCCAGAAGTACACTGTGATGCTAGCTGACAGCTGCTGTGAATTCAGAGTAATTCAATGTGACCTCCCTACCTGTGGTTAGTGACATTTTAAATGTCTAGGGATATGACAAGCGCAGAAAATTTGAATCAGACTATACAAAATATCGAAGCAGGAGGCTTGGAAAGAGTTCTCCCTGCCTCGTTATGATTTTCTTCGGTGTTGTTTTTGTAGTCTGTGGATAGGGAGGTGGGGTGGGGGTTAGAAAAGGAATCGGGAAGAGATTAGCACCATGAAAGTTTTACATGCTTGCATTCATGTTTTAGAAAACGATCTCTGAAGGCTAGGCACAGAAAGGATTGGAGAAAGAATTGACCACAGATAGGGAAAATACTTTGAAGGTCATTATAATACGATGGTTGAAAGAGAATAAAAGGCTGAACAATGGCAATGAAAATGGGAATTAAGAGGCATAATATGGAGATCCGTATGTAGAGTTCAGGAGCTCATCAATGGCTTTTGAGAGGTCATGTTCAGCTTTCGCTGGTGTCTGAAGCCCAAGCTTAGTACCTAGTGAGTAATTGGCCCTCACCTAGACCACCCATTGATAAGGATGACTGAACTTCTGGGGACCTGTGTCTGCAAGTAAACCGTCATTTTAGAACTTTCTCTACAGAGAAACTAGTAGGGTTTTGGGAAACAAGTCAGTTAAGGTCTCTCCCAGCCGCTCCTTAGGAGCAAGGCATTTCCTGCTGCAGGAATATCCCAGCCAGACCGGGAGCTTCTCAGGACAGCTCGGCAACAATCTTTGCATTTCCTGCCTTAGCCCAGTGTTGAGCACACAGTGGATTAATAACAAAAATTATGATAATTTTAAAATGTTCCACACTTTCCACTCACTCTACATAATGATTGTATTTAAAATATATTCCTAGTTATAACAGTATATCTTAAGAAGTAAGTAATTAACTGTAAGAAATGGAAACATACCACACTAATCAAAAACAAGCCTTGAAAGAACAGAACTGAAAATACCATATACAGATCAGATGAGCCACGGGATTGAAAAACAACATAGTACATGCCCAGCCAGTGTGGCTCAGTGGATTGAGTGTTGTCCCACGGACTGAGAGGTCCCAGTTAGATCCCAATCAGGGCACATGTCTTGGTTTGGGGCTTGATCCCCAGTAGAGGCCATGCAGGAGGCAGCCAATGGATGTTTCTCTCTCACATGAATGTTTCTCTCTCTCTCTCTAAACAAATCAGTAAAAACATATTTTAAAAAAATAGTACAGAATGGTTAAACTGAAAACACCATGGATTAATAAACTTTGTGAGGGACAAAGATTTTTGTGTACTTATCTGCTGTAACATCAGAGCCTAGATTATTGCACAGCATATAGAAGCATATAGAATGCTATCCTGGTTTAAAAAAGAAAGTAATATGGTTAGCTTTCTCTTCTATTAGAAGTGGATTCAAGTCTTTTTTTAATTTGTCTCATTTCTAGAACTAAAGAAAACATCTCTCGTGCAGCTGTAATTTTTTTACGTGGACCACTGCCAAATAGTGATATTTTTAATCCCATCAGGAATAGAGAATAGAATGGAAATTGTTCTTTCTCTCATGACATAAGCCCTTATTTTCTTGCCTGTCTTTCTACAATGCTAGAGAAACTTGAGATAGAAAACTATGTGTAGATGCCTGACATTCGGTTCTCTCCAGAGAAATAAACGTATTTGCTAGTTTAATATTCCTTGGTGAATTATTGATTGGTTGTTTGGCAGAAATGTTTTTCTCTAGCTCTATGGCTATTTCTCAGTGACATGAAGAAAACTAAAATATTAAAATAAAAAATAACACATGAGCCCTGGCCAGTTTGGCTCAGCGGTTAAAGCATCGGCCTGCGGTCCGGAGAGACCCGGGTTCGGTTCCCGCTAAGGGCACGTACTTCGGTTGCAGTTTGTCCCCGGCCCTGGTTGGTCGTGCGGGTGGCAGCCACTCAATGTGTCTCTTCACGTTGATGTCTCTCTCTCTCTCTCCCTTCCTCTCTCTCCCTCCCACTCTATCTGTCCAAAAAATGGAAAAATATCCTCAGGTGAGGATAAAATAAAATAAAATAACACATGAATAATTGCAGAATTGTCAAGTAGTATATTTCTGAAGCAATCAAATATTATATACAGCAACATTCTTTGTCATAGCAATTCATTCAGTTCATTGTGTAGCAAATCTTCAAGTACTTCAGTCTTTTCTTAAACTAGCCCACATCGAGTCTATTTCACTTTTGACGACTTGCATTTATGAGTTCATTTATTTAATAAATACTTATTAAGTATCCACTAAATGCCAATTTTTCAGCTACATCCTAGGGATATAGTGGTGAATAAGACAGAAACCTTACAGTCAAGGAACTCATAGTCTCCTACAAATCCCTGCAGGGGATTTCACGACTTAAAACACCTTTCTGTTTTGGGATTAAACAACAAAAATGTGAAGGGAAAGAAACCATGACATTTTTTTTGAAGTCCAGGCACATTTTAGAGGGGTATCTCTAAACATACTTTCTGCACAGCTTCTTTCCCACCCCTTGCTTACTTTTTTTAAACTCCTGCTTTGTTTTTCTTCCTCTACTAATTCCTACTTGACATTGTGCACTATTCTATTCGGCTTTGAGAAGTTGCCGGCATATAGTAGGTTTTTTGGAGTCAATGCTTGAATGAACTTGAGAGATGGAAATCCTTGTTTTATAAATGAGACCAAGAGTAATGACTTAAACTATTTGCACACAATTGTGTAACTCTTGAGTCAGAAATTTGGGGTTTAAAACTTGGTATGAATACCAAGTCCATGTTTTCTCTACAATGATTCTTCTAAATGCATATTTCTTTACAGAAGTATGACTCTGTCTTCTTTTGTTTAACACCACCATGTGAAAGACACTTGGAGGTACAGAGATCTTGCTTTCAATAGCCTCACAGGCTAGTTACTAAGGGGAAAAAACCCATATCCAGAAATCTAAGTGAAAGAGTAAGTGTCTGGGTATGGAAGGAATGAATCTCAGAGGCCGTGAACAAGAGGAGGGCGAGCTGGGCCTGGCATGAGTCTGGGGGCACTTTCACCTGGCTGGGGTCTGCTGTCCCTGGAATGTGAAAAAGTAAAATAAGTAAATCTGTCCAAAGTAGACAGTTTTCCTAAAAGTCATTTCTCTGAGTTTCTGTTCCCATTTAGATAGCAAAGAACAGAAGAGTCTCCCACTTTCTGCAGAGAGAGGATGGTGGAAGGTAAAAGAAAGACTCATTTTGAAGAGAGTTTGGAGAGTTTGTGGTCATACCAAGAAAGGAAGAAGTGGGGGAAAACAATTTTAACAACTGAGGTTGTTTTGCCTAGAAAAGAGGAAAAGCATGGGAGTGGAAGGTGGGATGAGGAAAACTAACTTCCAAAATCAGAAGTTTGTTGACTGTCCTTACACTGGTAAACACTTGAAGTGTCCTGCGCCTGAAGGAGAGGGTTTAAATTTATTCTCTTGGATACCAAAAAGTGCAACCAACGGGTGAAGGCCTGATAGAAACACGTTTCTACTCAAAGCAAAGAAACACATGCCTTTAAAATGAGTTGCAGGAAATTGTCTTTGTGCTGAGAGTTTTCGAGCAGAGGCAAGCCGCTCCCTGGGCCACATCTGCAGAGGGAATCTGCGCCTAGGGTCGTGACGCCTTTGTCCCGGGTCGCCGGCCGGGGGCGGGGACTGCGAGTCCAGTCCCCGCGTCAGAGGCTCCAGCTGCGCGTCTCGGCTCCCCTTGGAGCGCGGCTGAGCGGGACCGGGGCGCAGGAGCTGGCGCTCTGGCTCGACCCGCAGCTGCAGGCGCAGGAGCAGGGCTCAGCATGCTCGCGGCCGCCGGGAGCCTCCTGCGGCTCCGTCCGGGGCTCATCCTCCGCTGCGCCCCGGGAACACCTCGAGATGCTGCACGATGGCCCGTCGCGCTTCTCCGGTCCCAGGGTTCCCCCCGCTACTCCAGCGGCGGGACCCCCAGCGGCTCTGGGCCCCAGGGTCCGGGTGAGGCAGGGGTGGGAGTCGCCCGGAAGGGAGAGGGCTGCGGCGGGGCGGGCGGGGGCCAGGGCTGGGGTCGGGCGTGAGCGCGCGCTGATCCGCTGTGCCGGGCGCTCTCGGTTCCTCCATCCATCCCCGCGGTTTTCTCAGCAGGGAAGGTTCACAAGGTCCCCGCCGAGCACAAGCCTTCCCAGTTCGACAAGAAAATCCTGCTGTGGACCGGGCGTTTCAAAGCGTTGGAGGACATCCCGCCTCGGATCCCGTAAGTGTGTTCTGCACCGCGGGCCGGGTTTCGTGCGCTCGGGAGCGTCGGGCCCGGCCTCGAGGGGTGCGGGGTCCCTCCACTCACCGACCACCGCCTGTGCGCTGTGCCTGCCACACGGTGCTTTACCACACCGCCTCCCACCTCGAGGCACCTACCTACGCTTCCATTCGGTTAGTGTCAAGTTCCTTGACAGAACTGTGGGCAGCTAAACTCATAGGAAAATTGCTGAAGTTGGGTGAAACCCCGTAAGTTAGTGGGCGCTTCCCCAAGGCTCACACAGCCGCCCCCAGCGAGCTTCTGGCCGTGAGGAAGTGGAGCTTGGAGGCCAGAGAGAAGGCGCGGTCCTCGCCTGCACCCCAGGTGGCTACGGGTAACCCCGGGGTCCAGGGCAGCTGGTGGCTCCCCGCCACACCCAAGGACGGATTACGGCCATTTGTTGGCTGGAGAATCTCTGGGAAGAAGCAGCAGGCGCGCAGCTTCCTTTTCTGGGGTGGGAGACGCCTGGCGTACGCGGTGACTAGTCCACGCCCTTCTGAGCACCCATTTTAGTCGGGCTAGGATCCCCGGGGCATCGCTGGCCTCTTCACCATCCCAAACCCAAGATAAAGATTCGATAAATGATAAAACAAGCTGACAACTTCACTCCAGGGTAAATGTAACTTGTTAAAAAAAAAAAAAAGTATATGTAACCTGTAAAAACTGTTCTTTCTGCAAAATCCCATAAACTTCCCAGCATTTTTGAAAGGGAATGGGGGAAAACTAAGAATAAAATCAATCTAATACTTTTAAAACTGATTTTTAAAGTAGTCTACATCAGTAATATCAAACAAGGACTTCAGATGTTCTATATATTGTCTTTATACAATATAATTAATGGCTTTAGAATAGATAATGAAACTGGGCCTTCATCTTGTTCTGCACATATTACCTACACTTTTATTGCTTGTTAATTTACTAGTCACCAAAAATATCTTAATTAAATGAAAAAAATAAAATATGGTGAGATATGCTCACTCAATAATGGATTATCAAACATTTATTCCTTTCTTGGATCAAATTATTTGATGAGGAAAGAACATGGAATTTGAAATAACATAGAAGTTGAGGTGTTTTCAGCATTTATTCATCCACAGAGACGTTTTTTATTTATTTATTTTTCTTTACTGATTTTAGAGAGAGAGGGAGGGAGAGACAGATAGTAATATCAATGAGAGAGAACATCAATTGGCTGCCTCCTGCATGCCCCCCACTTGGGAGGGGGCCCACAACCTGGGCATGTGTCCTGACCGGCAACCGAACCGGTGATTTCTTGGTGCATTGGTCGACACTCAACCACTGAGCCACACCAGCTAGGCTACAGAGACTTTTTTTATATTATAAAACAAATTTTCTTTTCTTTGAAATCTATACATTCCAAACTACAGACAGCGCAAAGCAGAAATTAGCTTCAACAAAGCTAAAACATCACTCTCAATTGTTTTGGATTTTGAGTTATAATGCCATAACAAGGTAAACAAAATGTAAAGAACTGCCCAGCTGGTGTGGCTCAGCTAGAGCGTTGACCCCTGCACCAAGAGGTCGCCAGTTTATTCTTGGTCAGGGCACATGCCGGGGTTGTGGGCCAGACCCCAGTGAGGGGCATGCAGGAGGTGGCCAATCAATGTTCTCTCTCATGGATTTTTCTCTCTCTCTCTTTCCCTCTTCCTTCCTCTCTCTCTTAAAAAAAAAAAAAAAAAATTCAATAAAGGAAAAAAAAAAATCAATGGAAAAATATCCTCTAGTAAGGATTTAAAAAATAAGTATTATAGCTTTGGGTTGGAAACATGAAAGTATTTGAATACTTTTTATTTTATTATTTTATATAATTTTTTTAAAGCATTGTTACTTAGGAAGGATATGTCTCTTATGGTGAATGTTAGACTTTTATAATGTAAACAGCTTTCACTTTTTATGCTCCTAACGGACACATAATTACCAAGTGACTTATAATTTTTGTACCAGACACTAATGATATTTAATAATAACTGTACTTTTTTCTTGTTCTTTTAGTGCTAAACTAATTTGGTATAGTAGATCAAAGCCAGATGGATGGGTAAAAAAGATCAGATCTTTTATGTTCCATCTGGAACAAAAGTCAACAACAAATATAATCTAATAATGTCTTCATATTCACCTGTTTGCAACTAACATCTTAAAACTTACATTAATCAGCCTACAATCTAAGAAAAACAGGCTAGGTATTGGTTTTCTGTGCTCTTTCAACTGGTGGAAAAGTTTTTCATTTCTAAGAGAAATTGCAACTTGTCTTTATGAAAACTTTTTATGCAACTGCATTGTATTTAAACTTGACATTAGATAAGAAAGAATACTGTTGAATACATTCTCAAGAATCACCTTCTAATTATGTGTATTTATAAACTGCCACTGCATATTATTGCAAATTATTAAAGTTGATTTTAACATAAAAGGCCTATAGGCATGATTACTTTTGTAACACTACTTTGAAAGTAGCATATCTAAAATTTTGGACAACTTGCATATAACTTTATTAATGAATAAGGCTACCCAGTTTTCAGGTAAGCATATAAAATTTCAGACAATAAGGAAATGATGGTGTCTTTTCTGTTTTTCTTTGACAAATTATTGTGATTTTAATCATTTCTTTTGCAAACTTCATGCAAAAGTCACGAAGGAAACACCTCTTCTCTATAGTTATTCTCACAAAGATGTATAATGTATTATAACTGTATAATAACAGTCATCCTCACAAAATGTATAATAGTCTCTTTAATTGGGGTAGGATGGGAAGTAGCGAAAAGAGATTGGGAGGCCAGTTAAAAAAAAAAAAAATGATGAAAATACATTTTTAAAAAACAGCCAATTTAAAACGGGAAATGAAGACCACTTAATAATACAAGGACCAAATGAACATGAGTCATAGACATACAGAGGCTTTCATTCTTACCTTTACCCCCAATTAATGAAAAAAAGAAAGAAAGGATGGAGAGTCAGGCCATAAGAGCAATTAGAAACCTAATACTACACTTTGGTTTCATAGTGACTAACAGTAGTTAACACCTAAATAAATATCTGTTAATTTGAAATTGATAAGATAATGACATTGCATTTGGAAGTCTCTCACATCGGCAATTTGCATTCAGGGAAATTTTTGCAATACATTACAAATCATTGTCTATTATGCCGGTCAGAAAATCATATTGCTTTAATATAATTAACAGAATACATATCTTGATGTAGGCGAGAAATGATAGATGCTGCAAGAAACAAAGCTCGGGTGAAAGCTTGTTACATAATGATTGGACTCACAATTATCGCCTGCTTTGCAGTGATAGCATCAGCGAAAAGGGTGAGTAACTCTTTAAAATAAACACAGTTAAAATAAAAGACAGACAGAAGTAACAGTATATTTTCACTGAAGAGTATGGGGGGGGATAAACTGAATTTTAAAAAATTTTATGAGCTTTGTTTTCAATTTGTGGATTATTGCTGTTCTTTCACTGTAAGAACAATTTTGTCTTAGACACCTTGAACCATCCACATATATCTATCTATACTGGAAACAATCTTGTTCATGGAAATTTGAGTCAACAAATCAACTATATAAGCAGGAGGAACAAAAGCTTGTCTCCATTTGTAAGATAAAAACAGAACAGTTAAAGTCTGCACAGAAGCACTTTGTTGTGTTGCAAGTTATCCAGACTAGATCATTCCTTAAATCATGAACTTAATTAGCTATTGCATAGAACCATGACGTAGTTAGAAATACAAAAATTGGAAGTGATCACCGAGGCTGACTAGTTTGTCTATATCCAGTATCTGAGCCTTTTTCTTGCCATCTTCAACATATGGTTTCTAGAGAGAAATTAAGAGATAATTAAGTACTCTCTAATTTTGTTTCTTGCTTCCCCAAATCCTCCCATCTGCTTATCACTTTTTACCACAAATGGCAGCAGCCCCACACATATTGGGAGATATCTAACACATCTCTGAGTCTTCTCCAGTCTTAATTACTCCATCCCTAAAAACTTCTATTTGGAGCTCTCCTCTGAACATACTCCAGTTTATTAATGTTTCAATCCATTGTGGCACCTGCAGCTAAGCCCATTAGAACATGATTATAACTTCCTTGCTTATGAATATCGTGTTTTAGTGGTACCGTAGAGTTGGAACTAGATTTTGACAGCCACGTCACACAGAATGTTTTGCTTGGATCCATACATCACTCTCTGGGCATGTTTAGCCAATGCCCAGAGAATGGTAATTTAGAATGGTAATTTGCCTAGTCCTAAAATTCTGCTCTTCTTTGCTTCCCAGGTTTCCAAGAGTATAAGCCTAAAAACTCACATATGGACTAGGGCATCTAAATTTACTGATGTACATGTGCAACAATTTCTATTATCTTGGAAAAGAATTTATGCTTTGAAATAATTCTCATCAAATAGAAAATTTCTTAAAGACTTGCTGGGCTGAACACTGAAACATAGAAATAAAGAAATTTGATCATCCCTTATTTTTAACCTACCCTAGATTAAATGCCCACCAAGTTGATGATTTTCTAGCTCCTAAATGATAGATAGATTAGAGCCTGATACTGTCTGGACACTCCCTGTTTTATACCATCCTCTTTTTTTCATCATGCTCCATCTGCACTATTTCTTTTGTTTGATTTTTAATGTTTTTATTGATTTTTAGAGAGGAAGGGTGAGGAAGAGAGAGATAGAAATATCAGTGAAAGAGAACATCGATTGGCCGCCTTCTGCACACCCCCAATGGGGATTGAGCCTGCAACCCAGGCATGTGCCCTGACCAGGAATCGAACCAGCAACCTCTTGGTCCATGAGCGTCAGCTCCACCACTGAGCCACACCAGCCAGGCTGTTTTTGTTTTTCAATACAACAAACTTTTCTTCCTCCCTAGGCTTTCCTTTCTTCCCCTGTTCTTGCCGTAGACGGCTTCTTCTCATTCTCCTCAGAGAAAGCTTCGCTGACCACCCCACCTATAGTGGCCTCTCCCAGGTACTCACTATTTTATTATCTTTCTCCTCACCATCTCTCCTGATATCACCCTGGTCTGAGATAACCAACATCTGTTGCCTAGTTTACTGTAGTATCTTCTAAAATGGTCTCACTGGCCCTGGCCGGTTTGACTCGGTGGTTAGAACATCAGCCTGCAGACCAAAGGGTTGCAGGTTCGATTCTGGGTCGATGTCATATACCTGGGTTTCAGGTTTGATCTCTGACCCTGGTCGGGGTGGTGCAGTATCTCTCTCACATTGATATTTCTCTCTCTCTCTCTGCCTTCTTTCCTCCCTTCCACTGTATCTAAAAATCAATGGGAAAATATCCTCGGGTGAGGATTAACTAATAATAATAACAATAATAATAATAAATGGTCTCACTGCAGTCTCTCTTGCCTCTCTCCAACTCACCTTTCACTTTGAGTCATTAGTGCATGTACCTTAACTAAGATCGTGGCATGTGGAGGTGGAGAAAGGGTTAGTCATTTGAAAGACATTTGGGGAGTACAAAGAATAGAACTTTGTAATAAATTCAAAGTGAGAAGAGGAGAGAAAAATGTAAAAATAAACCAAAAGCCCAGGTTTTTTACTTGAACAAGTAGATGGTGATGATGCCATTGTTGAGCTGTGTAAGGCTGGAGAAAGAACTGGTAGGCACAGCAGTCCTCTGTTCTGGATATATTTACTATAAGGTCATATTAGACACCCAACAACATCAAACTTGTGTTTGTTCTGCTAAGGACACTGTATGCTCTTCAGTCCAAGGACCTATAGCTTTCCTCACTTCTGAAAAAGTCCTAACTTCAAAAAGAGCCCCTTCCCACAGTGTACCTATCCTCTCTCCACCTAGTATGAATGTAGGTTGGAACTTCTAATTCTATTCTCCATGTCTCTTAACTTCTCTTTATTTATTTATTTATTTTTTGTATCTTTATCTCTGTGCTGCATTTAGATGCTTATTTCCTCAGACACATTTTCTAGCTAGAGTTCTTCTTAATTTTGATGCTGATTATTTTTTCTTTTCACAGGTGATCCCCACCCCCACCCCCCCACCCCCCCAGATAAATGTTTGCTTTCTTTGCAAGTTCCTTAGGCTGGCGAAAGATGTTTCAGTGATTTCACAGGAGTACCTTTTCCTAATACCTCCAACTTTTCATTGGTAGCTCAAGTTGATGTTCAAGATCCAGATCCTGGACTTGGCTGTTGATATAGTGGTTAAACTCCAAGCCTACAGCTATTGAAGCCAATATTTTTTCCTAATGTCCCCAGAATGAAACCATTTCCTGGCTTCCATCCTTCTCATTCCCCACCAATTCATGCCTTTTGAGTTATTTTCATTTCTGGTATCTTTATTTTGAGCTAATATTTTCATTGCTTTTTATCCAAAATATATTTGTGTGTGCCAAGAGAGGGTGGGGCAATTCTCAAATCAGCTGTCCTGTTGACTGGAAGTCTAGCAACTTAAGCCATTTGTTTTCTATACCAAGGGATCATTTTCTTGGATACTATTTGTGACAGATGTTTTAAATTACTTGTCTCCTTTTCACAGAATCTCTCCTATATATGTCTGTCTAAAACACAAATTCCTTCTAGAGAACTACAATTCTTTGCTATTTTTTTTCCCACAGGCTGTAGAAAGACATGAATCTTTAACAAGTTGGAACCTGGCAAAGAAAGCTAAGTGGCGTGAAGAAGCTGCGTTGGCTGCACAGGCTAAACCTAAATGATACTCTAAGTGACAAAGAGTTCATCAGAATATCATCACTATTATCAGCAACAATAAAAGATAGGTAAAATATAGAATATTTGACAAAATATTTGCCATGGGTATTTTTTGGTGACAAGCACATAGTCTTTTCTATTTTTACTTTTCAGTGAACTTTTATTGAATTCAGACAAGTACACAAAAGTGTATACACCTTGATAGATTGTTACATAGTGAACACACCTGAGTAACCACTGTCCAGGTCCAGATGTAGAGTATCAATAACACCTCAGAAGCCTCCTTTCTCCTCTGTCCATCATTATCCTCCAAATGTAACCACTGTTATGAATTTTATCACCATACATTAGTTTTTGAACTTTATATAAATGGAATTACACAATATGTACTTGTGAGTATAGATTCTTATGCTCTACATTATGTAGTGAGAGTTATATAAATTGTGTGTAGCATGAATTCATTTACTTTTAGTGTTATAGTATTCTTGTGTATGAGTATGTCACAGTGTGGCTGGCTATTTGGCCCAGGTTTTGGCCATTACAGATAATGCTAAAATGAACACTCTGTGCATGTCATTAAAATGTTGTTGAACTAAAATCACTAAGGGCTCTTCAAAAGCTAATTTTTAATCAAAGTTTTTGTTGTTAAATATACGTGAAAATTCCTAGGGTAACATAGAAAAAAATATGAACTTTCAAACAAGTAGAGATTGTTTAAAAAATAGAAAAATAAATGAAGTTAGTCAAAAGGCGAGAAAGGAGGGAGAGAAAAAAAAGGGGGAGGGGAACCAAGAGAAAATAGAACATAATAGCATAGTCACAATGAATCCAAATGTAGTCAGAATAAATAAACAAAACTCTGATAAGTAAACACAAAAATACTTATAATGTATTAAAAACAACAACATTCTGCATACAAAGTGTACAACCAAAACAATAAAATACAGAGTTGAAAGTAAAATGGAGAAAAGATATAGCAGACAATTCTCAACCAAAATATTGCCACAGTAGCTTTATTAACTTCAGATGAAATAAACTTTAAGAGAAAATTAATTACTAGAGATAGAGGATCACAACATATTGGCAAAAGATTCAGTTCATCAAAAGGTATCATCCTCATGGTAACCAGTACCATGACATTCAGCTGCAAAATGGGCCTGTGCACCCTCAACAGTAACCTGGCAAATTACAGTCTGAGAGCCCCTAGATGCTTAATCCAGGGCTGCACTTGGCCACATTTTGTTCCCAGCACCACCTGTGGTCACCCTACGGTGGGAAGCTCCACGAGCAGCTAGGTTTTGACATACACACGATACTGTCTGCGGGAACAGTGGGTAAAGCCAACGGCTGTATCAGGAACCAATCAATGTAACTTTAATCTCAAGGTTACTGAGAATTCGGGGCTTTGATTAAAAACAGTTGTGAGAGCAAGATGAAGTTGACCTTGCCATCCAGTCAGAAACGAGAGGTGAACATTAAAGGCACCATGGGCTAATTAAACAGAGATAGCCTTGGTTATAACAGTGGAACCTGCGTTTGGAAGGCAGAAATTCATGGAAGATAGGATGCCAAATGTTCACTGGTTCATGGTGGAGTGGGCACTGGCACTGTCCATAAGTGTACAGTCAGGAAGTAATGACTGTCTGGCAATGCCATTACCAGGAGTGAAGACATACCTGTCATCAACATTAAAAAATGTTTGCTCAGACTGGCTGATCAAAAAGTCAAAAGTGTTGGTGAGGATGTGGAAAAAAGGAAATCCTCAGTCACTGTTGGTGGGATTTGTAAGTTGATGTGGCCACTATGGAAAACAGTATGGATGTTTCTCAAAAAATTCAAAATAGAACTAACACATGACCCTGCAATCCCACTTTTGGGCATTTATACAAATAAAAAGCACAGCCCTGGCCGGCTTGGCTCAGCGGTTAGAGCATTGGCCTGTGGTCCAGAGAGACCCGGGTTGGGTTCCCGCTAAGGGCACGTACCTCGGTTGCAGTTTGTCCCCGGCCCTGGTTGGTTGTGCGGGTGGCAACCACTTGATGTGTCCCTTTCACATCGATGTTTCTCTCTCTCTCTCTGTTCCTCTCTCTCCCTCCCATTCTACCTGAACAAAAAATGGAAAAATGTCTTCGGGTGAGGATGATAAAAAAAAATAAAAAACACAAATTTGAAAAGATATATGCACACTTATGTACACTGCAGCATTAGTAATAGCATTATTTACAGTGCCAAGATATGGAAGCAAGGTAGGTGTCCATCGATAGATGAATAAAGATATATAAAAATACAGGGTGGAGCAAATGTAGGTTTACTGACATTCATATGGAAAATAATACAATAATTAATAAATAATAATACAAGAATAAACTTTGTCTTGTGTACTCACAACTGTAACCCTATTTTGTCCCACCCTGTATATACAGGATATTACTCAATAACAAACAATGAAATCTTGCCATTTGTGACAACATGGATGGACTTATGCTAAGTGAAATAACTCAGAGAAAGACAAAATACTTTATCATTTCATTTATATGTAGAATCTAAGAAAACAAAAACAAACAAAACAAGACTCATAGAAACAGAGAACAAACTGATGGTTGCCAGAGGGGAGATGGGCTGGAGGAATGGATGAAAAAGGTAAGGGAAAATAATTTTTGTACTTTTTCCCCCTTTTAAAGGGACCAGTAGAATTTCCAATTCCTAACAAAAACCCCACAGACTACACCAGCAAGTCAGGATTGTCAGTCATGATACAACTTGAATATCCTTTTCATATGAGAAAAAGTGATTCATAAAAATTGTCATTTCACAAAGAAAAAGTGTTCCTTAATGTATATTCTTCAACATCCCATAATGAAGCATTATTCTTTGAAAAATGTTAACTCTAGGATACATGTAGGAATAGATGTCTATTTAAATATAGTAAACTATGGCAAGGAATGACCAAATTTCTACAACAGGTAGAAATACAACAGTATTTTTTAACTTTTATTTTACATTGATGTATTTTTTCTATTTGGAGTAAACCTAAAAAATGTGAATGACCTTTATGAATAAAATTGTAAAATTTTGTTAAAATTCTGTAAGGAATATCTAAAGAAATGGTGAGCTATAACTTGCTCATGGATTGAAAGACTTATCATTAAGATGTTAATTCCTCCAAAATTGTCCTATAGATTAAATGTAACTTCATTCAAATTCCCTGTGGGACTTTTCATGAAATTTTACAAGTGAATTCTATATTTCTATGAAAATGCAGAGTTAAGACAATCCTGAAGAACAAGATAGAAGACTTGCCCTATCAGATATCATGATGTAGCTACAAATTGGAATGGTATACAGCAAAGGAAATTAATGAACCACAGATGTATGCACAAACATGAATGAATCTCAGAAGATGTTAACATTGATCTTAAAAAAATGTATTATATAAAATATTCCATTTTTCACTTCAAAGACAAGTGAAGCTATGTATTTTAGGAATACATACATGTGATATGGAACAATGAGGAAAAGCACAGAAATTATTAATAAAATCCAGAGTAATGGTTACAATGGTCTGATAATAATCAAGTTATTAAGCTGGGTGAATACATAGGTGGCCGTTTTATTATTCAATCAGTCTTCTTACACATTATTCTCTTTGTATATATTTTATAATAAAACATTAAAGATGGAATGCTCAGAAAATAGTCATGTTGATGCCCTAAATAAAGAGTATATTAAATACTGCCATGCTATTTTAGTTTTGTTTTTTTTTAATTTTCTTTTTCCTTTATTGATTTTAGAGAGGAAGTGAGAGGGAGAGATAGAAACATCAATGACAGAGAACATCAATTGGCCACCTCCTGCATGCCCCCCACTAGGGATTGGGCCCACAAGCTGGGCATGTGCCCTAACCAGGAATCGAACTGGCAACCTCTTGGTGCATGGGTTGAAGCTCAACCACTGAGCCACACTGGCCGGACAGTCAATAGTTTTTAAAAACATGTTAACTAGCCCTGACCAGTTTGGTTCATCATTTACAGCATCTGCTCGCGGACCAGAGAGTCCCGGGTTCAGTTCCCGCTAAGGGCATGTACCTCGGTTGCAGTTTGTCCCCAGCCCTGGTTGGGGTTGTGTGGGTGGCAACCACTTGATGTATCTCTCTCACATTGATGTTTCTCTCTCTCTCTCTTCCCCCCTATCTCCCTCCCACTCTATCTGAAGATAAATGCAAAAATGTCCTTGGGTGAGCATAAAAGAATAAAAACATGTTAACTATAACTAAATGCAAATAAGAATTCCTGAGTAAAGTTCTCCACAAGTTTAAGACATTCAATTTTTTAAGTAACAGGCACTTTTGGATATTACACACTAAATTCCCTAAACTGTTTCTAAATTAAAACCTACATTAATTACTGAGCATCCCAAGTTCTTTACTTGGTGGGGTTTCCCCCAGTCAGCATTTCAGTTCTGGTGGTGCTATACAGCATTGCTTACCAGTGAAATTACTACTTGAAATTTTTGTTTCATAACAGAATGGAAAATCGAAATGATAAAATGATATTAATGATGATGTATAAGTCTCCTAAAACTTAAACTACTGAAACAAACACATAAATCATTAGATATGTGCCCCAGCTGGTGCAGCTTGGTTGGAGAATCGTCCCCTACACCAAAGGGTTGCAGGTTAGATTCCTAGTCAGGGCACATACCCAGGTTGCAGGCATGATCCCTGGGTTGGGGCACAAGCAGAAAGCAACTGATGGATGTCTCTCTCTCACATCAATGCTTCTCTCTCTCTCCCCCTCTCCCTTTCTCTTTTTCTCTAGAATCAATAAAAAACATATCCTCAAGTGAGGATTAAAAGAAAAATCATTAAATGTGCTAAAATGGGGGGAGGGATCATGTACTTATTGAACGTAACCAGGCAACTATTCAAATATGGAGGAAAATTAGAGAACATATATAAAATTAAACAAACACATTACTAAAGGGTATATTTAGGGATTTCTGGGAAGTTGAACTCCACTGCACACTGAAGTCCATTGTTTTACCTGTACATTGTATTTTTATACATTTTCAGTAACTCATTTGCCACTAAAATTGCAGACAGCCTTACTGGGAACAGTGTACCCTAAAAATAACCGATCCAATTACTTTCACTACTCAGAAGTTTCAAATACGGAAGGAAATGAAGCCAGCCAAAGCAAAATACATGGTGATGAAAG